CATCTCGCGAGCTGCGTTCGCGAATGCGGCGTCCGATCAGCAGCCTTGCGCAAAGTTGCAGCCGAGCGCGCGTGCGCTAGACATGCAAGGCGCGCAAGCGCAACGCGCGCGCGGACTCGCCCATGCACTCAGGAGATCCAGCAGCGCTCTGCAACCCTCACAGCGCGCCGATCCATGGGAAGTGCCCCAGCTGCGAAGGGGGAAAGGAACGCGAGCGCCCCACGCACATGCGCGAGTTTGGCAAGTGCAGGTTCGCGGATCCCCACGTCCGGCAGCGCCCCGCGCCGGCCGGCACCCGCGAGCACCAGCGGGACCTGGAGGACCACGTCATTCCAGCAATCAGCAAGCCCAGCACCCAGCGGCGCAGACCATGGAGCAGCAGACTAGTCTGCTCCACCATCCGCGCCCGCAGGTGCGTCAGGGGCCAGCTCATCACCCAGCGCAGCGCTGGGGCCAGGGCACTGGTTCGGGCGACTTTCTCGCTCGACAAGGGATCCGAGCTAGTCCAGCAATTGCAGGCTCAGCTCGCTTCGACGTCACTACCTCCATACGAGCACTTCGCAAACATTCGCGTGATACACGCATGCGGGAGCTGCGCAAGCAACGCTCCCAGCGCTGGCACGCTACAAAGGAGGAGACAGCGCGAGCTCTGCGAGCAGCCAACATCTCACATGGCATCCTTAACTTCACCCCCACGGCGGTCAACAACTGTAGGGCGCGCCGCGAGTGCCAGTCGCCAGCGCACCAAAGCACCCCTGCACTCCGCCTGTCGACACGTTTCAACCTGCACGCCGATCTACAAGGATCGCGCGATTATCCATTTGATCTTTTGTGCCTCACGGAGGCGCCATGGTCAGCAGGTTACGTCCAAGCACGACTCGACGTTGCTTGCCGCCATCGACCGCTCGTGCTTCGTGGAGGATGAAGAGGAGAGGAGTACTGGTTGCTCCACGCCAGCACGTTCGTTTCGTCGTGCGGCGCGGGGCCTTGCTGCGACGGGCACTTCGCTCCGCGGAGGAGCAGCTCGAGCGCGAAAGCATCACGTTGAATCTTAACACCATGCTAACACAAGCCATGTCTACTGGCAACAGCCCCGTCCACGTTGGCGGCGTGACGCCATGCAGCGTCGTCTTCGGACGGCAGCTGCCACTGCTAGCACCGCTCGAAGCAGACGAAGACGGTGAGGCATCTGGCGACTGCGTCGCTGGTGCCGAGCCTCATGCCGGTGGGGAAGTGCAGCCCGGCCGACTGCAGTTGCGCATCCGAGAGATAGCCTTGCAACGAACGATCGGCTCCACATCGATCGCGCGCGGCTGACGCGCGCTCAGGACCCGCGCCGCCGAGCCCAGCGAGGGCCTCTTCAACGTGGGTGACCAGGTGGAGATCCACAGGCCGCCAAGCACTGAGGATGCGTCTGGCTGGGCTGGCCCTGTCTGTCGACCTGGCTCGAGGCAGAGTGGCGGCCCTGTACCGCCGAGCCGAGATCGTCTGCAGTCTGCAGGAAGTCTGCGCCCTCATTGGTTCCGTCTTCGACGAGATGGGCACTGGCATGGCGCGCGCAGGTTTGGCGTGGGAGCGCGCGGCACCAGACTCGGGGGCCGGGACCTCCGGCCATTGGGAGGACACCGGAGGCGTGCAGCACACCGAGCAGGCACGACAACGCTCAGACTTTCTCGAAGCCCTGCGCCATCTTTTTTTCGAAGATGCCGTCAGCTACCAAACGTTCGCGCTGCGCGATTCATTCGCGGGCAGGAATCCGCGGCCATCTGGTGGCCCCTTTGGCACCCAGCCGACTTCCAGCAGATGGCCCTAGCGGCGCCGCGATTGACGCCCGCCAGTTCATCGTCGATGATTGGAAGGAGGCTCGCATCATCCAGTTAGTCTTGGGTGATGAGCCGTTGCGGGTAGCGGACGCCAGACAAGACCTGGACGGAACGCTCGATGATTGTGTCAATGCCGTTCCCGAGGACTTCGCCAGCACCGCCGAAGTTGGATCGCCATCAGCCTTCTCGGCTATGCCAGAGGAAACCGGCAGCGACTTCTCCAGCCACATCCAACAGGTGACGTTGGCAGCTTTTCGCGAAGTCGAGGGGGCAGAAGACCACGCCCAGGAGTCGAGTTGGAGGTTGCCGACAGCCAGCAAGAGATCTCCGCTGTCGTTGAGCACGCCGGTCGACCTAGCCGTAGGCCGCGCGAGTTGCCTTGGGGCCTCGAGACGCAGCGCCAGCGTCAAAGCATCCACGCGCAGTGCTACTACTACCTGCGCGGGGCTTCCTTGGACGACTACAACGCGCTATCGGAGGAGGAGGGCGATTATGGTGGGCATGTGGAGTTTCATCTTGATACATGGGCACGCGCAGCATTCCTGAGCTTCAACGAGGCTGCGTCTGGCGACTGTGTCGCTGGCAATCTATGCCGCCGCAAAGACCGCGACGCCAGCCTTCTGTCCCGCGAGGAAGCGTCCGAGAGGCGGCCGCTCATAGACGACCGAAACGCAGTGTACCCCAGACGCGCCTTCAAGTGGAAGCATTGGAGGGATCAGACGGCAAGACTCTCAGGATCATCCGGCGCTGCCTGGCGCTGAGGGGCTTCCGCGACATGGGCGCCGCCTCAGCGCTCATTATCTTCAGAGGCGGCGCGTCGCCCCGACTAGGCGTGCGTTTGACGTCGAGGAGGCATTCCTGCAAGGCATGACCTATGCAGAGAAACAGAAGCAAGGCGAAGCACCTCGAGAGGTAAATTCCGCCCTGCCACCCGGCAGCGCAGCCATCCTCAGGCAGGCGCCCGGCCACGAGAGCCTCGACGAGCGGACCGAGAGCCTGCGCTGCATCAAAACAGGCGCGGACGGCAAGGGTGCGCCCCGAGCTTCGTCCGCGATGCTCGCCCTGGCCACGCGCTCAACCGAGCGCAATTCAAATTCTATGAGGTGGGGCCTGGAGCTTGAGGTCAAGCGCGCGATTTCCGGCAGCTGCGCTGCTGGCGTCACGGGGTCAGCGCTCGCGCGGTCCAAGCATGCTCGCGATCTGAAGATCGTTGGACACACGGAACACTTCGCCCCCCTGATCAGCCTCATCGAGAGCGTCTTCGGCACGATGAGATTACTGTGGCGACTTCACCAACTGCGGAGTGCACTGGCACGGTGGACGAGCCAGCCGGAGGTCAGTTGCCCGACCTCTTTGCCTCGTTCTTGGGAGCAGCGGCCTACGCCATGCTCGCGCAGCACCACGTCGCAACGCGCTCTTGTCGCCCTGCGGAGAACCAAGAAACAGCCGCCCATGCGACGCGCGATGCAATTCAATTCCGTTGTTCTGGCTTCGAAAAAGATTCCATCCATGGGGTGCGCCAAGCAATTCAGAGTGCACAGCGACGGGCCATTCAAGCGGGAGGAGGAATCAGGGCATTGCATGAGAGGAGCCGTATACATGCCTCTCGGCAAGTGCCGTCGCGCCAGCAGTCAGGTATGCCACCTGCTGGACACTGAGAGCCGATCGCACAAGCTTGTGTGCATATCCGCATTCGGCTCCGAGCTGTTCGCTTCATGCGGCGCGCCAGACGGTCTGCAAGGCGTGGCTCCTAACGTTGCGCGAAATGGCGCACGGCCTTGTCTCTGCCGAGGAGATCGGGTAGCTGGGGGGGGGGGGGGGGGCTGCGCGATCCTTGCTGACATCGTCATAGATGGCATGTGTGTCTTAAGCGCCCTGCAAAGGGCTCGGTCCAGCCGCCGTCCGAGAACAGCATGGCTGGCCACCTGGGGCGGTTAGCCGATCAGCTGCGCGCCCAAACAGATCGACGACACGCATTGGCGCGACACTCGGGACACGCGGCCGACCACATGACCAAGGGTTGCATGGGCCGAAGGCTAATACTCTGCGCGACGCGGAAATGAGGAGATGACGCTTGTGACTGCGTCACGAGGTTACAAGGGGTCGGAAAGCAAATCTTTCTCCAAGAGCCGCATTGGCCCCTTGGGCATGGGACGCACGCTTCAACATTCGCTGGCATCCACGTGCGAGATGGTTGAGTGGAACACTCACTTGAGCGGGATTGCGCGGACTGTGTCTGGGCAGCGCGCTCTTGCTCTAGTCGTTGCTCTTTGATTGTCCCGCATGTTACCAGGTGGGGCGATGGATCCGCCTGCCCTGGATAATCCCACGGGCTCTGGTGGGGGTACATCCATGCTTCCCACTGGCGTCGTAAAATGTTTTTGCGGTTGGCGCCGCGGGGGGCCAATGCGCTTTCGGGATGGAACGAAGGGCACCACCCCGGGGACCTGCCGAATTCAGGTGAATGTGTCCCCTCGCGGCCAAACAATTGTTGTTCATGAGAAGGGTGGTGGGCCCTTTCCTGTAGCTGTCAGCTTCGTTGTGCAAAGCACGACGGACTCGCTTGAACACCGGACTCGAACAGTAGGTCCTCCAGCCTTGCCTGCTTTTTAAACCCTGTCCTTGCCCCTGCCGCATTGAATCTCGAGGATCCATCACGGCGCCCGCTTTACATCGCTTTGCTTCGTAAGATTCGCATCACGCGCTGTGCATGTGCTTACGGGCAACATCGTTTCCCTTCTTATATCAATATTTCTGGTCTGCCTGCGCGAATTTGCGGCCAGAGTTTCGGCCACGCTTGCAGGACACCCGTTCGGCCGCGTGCCTACATGTCGCTGGCGTGCGTTGTGCCACATCGCTGTCCGTTCCCATTCCCTGTCCAGGGAAGAGGGGCCCGACGGTTCGCATGGCAATGCCCGTCGGTCGTTGAACAGGGGCATGTCGGGATGTGCAGATCCCAGTCTGCTGCAGATGACGCGTTCTTACTTCAAGAGTCAGGGGGCGGGCGGAGGACGAACCTACTTCCAAGGCTTTCCTACCTCATGTTGTTTTGCCCAGTTCTTCCGGCCGGCGGGTACACATACGTGCAGATGCCTACACCCGTGCGCCTGCCGAAACAGGTCGCCAGGCCAAGGCTTCTCGGCTACTCGGCTGCCGCCGCCCCCCCCGCCCCGAGAGGCCAGGCGCCTCTGCGAGAGCGCGGCGGCTGGCCAGCCGCTGGAGATCCCGCGGTGGCTGGCCCTGGCGGACGAGGTTCGGCGGTTGCAGCACGGGCGGATAGCCCGGGGGGGAGGCACTCGCGGGCGATGCTTCGCACCCGACCACCGACGATTACCCGAAAAGTCAAGCCGTTCAGAAAATGATGGAAGTTCGGGAATACACCCCAAGGGGGTTGATCGGACGCATCATTAATTATCGAGGATGGGCGCCATCCTGTCCTGTATCCCCGAGTTGGGCAACAAAGTGTTGGTCCGCTCGAAGCCCCGTCCTGCGTGGGATGGGGGTCGACACATCTCCTGTTAAGCAGTGCTCTGAGACCCGGGCGTTGCCATGTTTTCGCACTTCGGGGCTCACGTTACGGGGGTTCAGCGCTAACGAGGGTCCGCCAAGCCCCTCTGGCTGACCTGGGTCTGGGAGCGACGTGAGGCCGATTCCCCCATTTCGCCCTCCGTTGACCCGGGGTTGGGAGATATTAAGTTGCTAGCTGGGCTTCGCGAAAGGGCCCTGGCCGACCCAGGATTATGCTCACCTGGGTTTGCGCGTGCCCGAACACCCGGCGTTTTCGCCAGGTTTCGGGCGCATGGACCGGGCTCCAAAAATGTGGCATGAAAGATCGGGTCTGGGGTTCGGTACGTGCTTTGTCGCGATGCTGCAGTGTTTTTCGCAACGTCGGATCTCAGGGTGTACGTATCCGGGCGCTCCGACCGCCCATGTCTTCGACGAGGTTCCCCGGCGAGTGCGTGCAATACCCTCCCCCGGGCTATCGGCTCGGAGGACAAGCTAATAATCAAAAACGCACATTTTCGGAGGTCCGCGCACAGATTCGTTGGATTGCGGGCGGCGCCTCCAGCACCACCCCTGGCGCGCTCCGCGCGCCAGGGAGGGAGGCCGACGCGATCCGAGTCATCTGCGCAGACCTCTGGAAGTGTCCGTTCACGTAGCTGTTTCTTCTTCTGAAGGCCCTCGCGAAGGCCGCTCGGCTGCCAGCAGAGGATCGTCATCGCCATCGTCAACCTCAACGCCAACGTCGTTCCCCATTTCGTTTCTCCTCCTCCTCCCATCCTCCTCAGCCTTCCCGATTTCCTTCTCCTCTCCCATTACGCTGTCATTCTCCCATTTCTCCTCCCCCTCGTCCTTCCTCCGCATCCTCGTCCTCTTCTCCATGTCCTTCCTCATTCCTTCTCGTCGTCGTTGTTCTCCTCATCCTTCCCATCTCTCCCCAGCGTCCACAGACAACATGGTACAATTGACCCCCCCCCCCGCGCATAAATGTTGCCTTATTATTTGTCGTTATTGCCCTACCTCATGCCTCCCTGCTCATGAGCTTCCTCCCTCATCCTCGTTCTCCGTCCTCCAGCTTCCCCCAAGACCCATATCCTTTACCCCACTCCTTCCTTCTCCTTGTTCCGTCTTGACTCATTCCGTCGTATCCGCCATCTTTCCCTTTTCTGAATTCTATCGTGCTTTCGCCTCTCCTTATGATGCTCCAACCTACTTCAGCCTTGATCACCAGACAGAATTTCGAGCGTCAAAAAAGTACCGAAATTCAAAGGCTTCCACGCGTCGGGCCCTGGGAGCCACTCGCCCGACACTGCTTCGACACCGTTTCGACACTCTTCTGACACTTTTCTGGGTGCTCGACACTGTTTCTGGGATGTGGTCCGTAAGTAGGATAGGAACAACATAAGCCTCTCCCCTCTCTTCCGCATTCCCCTCTCCCCCCTGGCTGGCCTATGATGGGCACAGCATATGACGGCCTATGACGGCCTATGATGGGAACAGCATAAGCCTCTCCCCTCTCTTCCCCTTTGAGAGAATTCTATGCTGCCTTCGCCTCTCCCCTCTCTTCCGCATTCCCCTCTCCCCCCCGTCCCTCAGGCCCCCGCCGCCGTGCAGCAGCGATCGCCCTTCCGCCCTCGGCCCGGCCCGCCTGCCCTCCACAACGACCCCCAGACCTCTCCTGCAGCGCGACCTGGCCTTAAGTCGGGCCTGTCCCCCTACAGGGGGATGTTCGACGAAAAATAAGGAATACCCCAAAAATATACCAAAAAGGTCAAACTAATATTCAGAAAATAGTCCCCATACTATTTTTGGACTATGTTTGGATTATTTTCAGGGTATTGTTTTAATTTTTCGTTGAAAATCCCCTTGTAGGGGGACAGACCCGACTTAAATCTGGCCAGGATTTCTAGGCGGACCCAGCCATGGCGACGAGGGTGCCTGGAGACGATGCCAAGAGACGACGGAGGGGGTAGAGAACCTCCGCCTGACTGACGCCACAGGCCTAGCGCTTCGAAGGCTTACGCAAGTCCAGGGGCCAGAGTCGAAGGGGAGTCGGAGGATCGCGCCGCTTCGCCGATGTACCAGCTGTGCGACGCATTGCGGAGTCCCATTTCTTGCAGCCCGGCGTAGCGTGCATCGGCGACGGGGTGCGATTCTCCAACCCCATCGGCTGTGACCCCTATTCGCGGGCCTCCAGCAGTGGAAGGCCCCTACATGTCGGGTCGGACGACATGAGGGATTGGGAAAGGGGGGGGGGAGGGAGATCTGCTGCATGCAGCCCGGTTCGGCCCCGCCGCGGGGTGTTTCCGGAGCCGGGAGGCGTATGCAGATGTTCTTCTCTGAGTAGTTGGTTGGCTTTCTTCGAGTAGCTGGAAAGCCAGCTACTCGAAGAAGAGCAGCTGCATAAGCATGGCTTTCGGATGTCTGGGCGACTCTCTCGCGGCGGCGCCGGAGGCGCCGCCAGGGGGTCCAGCGCCGACCCAGCAGATCAACGTGGACGTTCGAGAGTTCATGCGTACGCTGGGAGGCGGTCGTTAAGGAACGTGGCCAGGAAATTTCAGACTATAGAGAATATGCCTAGTCTGATGAGGGCGGCGGTGACTGGGAGCCGGCGGTAAACCGTCAACCAGGTTACCGCCGGGCCCTTCGTAGAGCTCCGTAGACGCATAAGAGTTCTGTGAATGCGGACAGTGAGCTCCCTGGAGTATCAGCTTGCAAATCAGAGAACATCGTTTTTGGGGTTCTAACGAAAAGTCAGTTGCAGACATATTTTTGAGTATTGTAGCAGCTAGAGACCGAATAATTTATAAGCAAATCGAACAGGAACTACTCCAGTTGCGAAGAAACTTCATTCCCAATTGAATCGCCGAATTCCTAAGAATGTTTATAAAACCTGCATTTCTTCAAAAGCTTTCATTTTTGAGGTCGGTCCATGGAAGTGAATCGATAGGAATACTGCAGCTACAGCCCTGAGACTTTCACCATCGAGCGCAGCGTGATCAAATGTCTAGTAAAAGGCTATTGGATTTCAAAACGAATTGTCGGATGTCTCACAATCTTGCAACAAAAATCGAAAAACAATTTGTGATTACAATTTCAAGTCGGTTCCGCCAAGTCTTTCGATAGTAAGACTGCAGCTACGGACCTGATAATTTCATTGGCGCACGCGGCATAACCTCCTACAGGTGCGAAAAATCTTGGCTCTCAAAACTAGCTTTCAAATCTCTCACAATCTTCGACAAACCGACCCAAAGTTCCCACATTATCCGCCCTGGTCCGGTTGGTCAACTAGTTCCACCCCGCGCCAGAATTTTTCTAGCTCATCGTTGCCGCAGAGCTCTACGAGGTACATCCCTGGCCTGTCCACAGTTGCAGCTCCACAGGCTTTCAGGACCCTGGATCCTTCATCAAATGGCTTCTCATCCAACTCGACTACACGCAAGAGCGACCCTTCGTTGGAGTGACCTCTGGTGCGGGCCCACCTGGGGCCCATCGCTGAATCCGATGCGATCGATAGTAGCGGCCTGCGCGCTTGGGTTTGGCCCCCTCGCGCCCCCAGAAGGCGAGCACCAAAGGTCACTCTTGCCTAGGGTTACTCTTTCGTGCCGCCGACCGGTGCCCTCGCCGCGTGCCTCGTTCGCTCCTCTGCCCAAGGCCCTGCGGGAGAGAGGAGCAGCTCCGCCTGCCGGGCCCCCCATCCGCCTGGCCCGGCCGCGCTCCCGCGGATGCGGGGCGTTTTCCGCCCATGCCCCGCACGGAACGCATCCGCCGGACGTCCTCCTCCTCCTCCTCCTCCTTCTCCTCCTCCTCCTCCTCCTCCTCCTCCCTCTTCACGTCTTCCTCCTCCTCCTCCCTCTTCACGTCTTCCTCCTCGGCCACTCCTGCCCCGCTGGCCCGGTGGAGTGCCTCGCCGCTCGTGCCCTCGCCGCCGCCCGAGGACGTCCTGCTCCTGCTGCGGGCCCTGCTGCGCCACCGCGTGGAGGACCCGGGCCTCTTCGCGGCCCTGGGCGATCGCGTCACCCGCCTGGCCCCAGGCGACGGTCCGCCACGCCGATACGAGCGGGGGGGGGGGAGGCTGATGGGCCCAGGGTTGAGTCAGGGCTGTCCCTCTACAGGAGGAATATTCATGAATAGTTAGAACAAATTCCCTGGGGGCGATGTGTTGACTAGTTTTGAGCATTGGTTTTTGGGGGGATAGGCTCAGGGGGGATAGGCTCAGGGGGGAATGCATCGACCCCCAATCGCCCATTCATCACCGACAGAAGCCTGATATCCCACCCCGCCAATGAACGAGCGGTTTCGCCGAACTATCGGCGATGTATCGCTAATTCCAGCTCGATGTTTCTACCCCTGAGCCGGTCCCCCACGATCACTTCCCCTCAGGAGATGCCAGCCTTCGACTGAGCTACCCCCTTTTCGCTGTCTCGCCAAGGCCCGCTGGAGAGTGAGTCTGCCCACCCCAGCGCTCCTCGGCCTTATTCCCCCCTTTTCGAGTTCGCCCGCTCGTTCGCCAGCTGCCGCTGTCTGTGTCTTGGACGGACTTGGCCGCTGAAGTATGGCAAGGATTGCGAGGAGGAGGAGGAGGAGGATTTCTTTCTATTCTGACTGATCCCTTCTCTTTCTCCCCTCCCCCCCTCCCTGGTAGGGAAGGGAAGGGGGGGGGGCGACCAAAGCGCTGTGTGGAGCCGTCTGGAGCACCGTTTTCTAGTTTCCTTCCGCTTTCGTGCCTGGCCGTGGGCCAGTCGGGGTAGTGGAGGTCTGCGAGGATGCATCCAGTGCAGTCACAGCGGAGCGCTTTGGTCGACTACGCGTAAGAGTGACCCTTCGCATGAATGACATTTGGTTCGGGCCCATGGGGGTCCCCCGCTCGCCGAACGCGATGCGACTGTAGCGTCTTGCACGCTTGTGTTTGGCTTCCCCCGCGGCCCCAAACAATCAGAGAACCAAAGGTCACGCTTACCCAGGTCACTCTTGCGTGTAGCCGATTTGAGCACACCCTCCGTCCTCCCTCATACCTCTTCCTTCTCCTTCTCATCCTGCTCTCCCTCGTCCTTTTCCTTCCTTCTCGTCCTGTCCCTTCTCCTCGTGCATTTTTGCCGGGCTGAGTTTAGGGAGGCGGCCTGGCTGTGCGGGAGACACCAGGTGGAGGCGATCTCTCGGACCGCCTCCGTGCAGCAGCGAGGTCGCATGCCAACGCCATACATAGGAGCAGACATGCACAGGGGCATCGACACAGAGACGGTGCAGTGGAGGCCCATGCCTAGAGACACCCTGCTCGCCTCCAGGGTGCCTTGGGTTTCTTGGGGTTCGATGGCTTTGCCATGGAGGGCGCGACGTTCCCACGCCAAACATCGATTGACGTTCTGGGGTCTCAGGGTTGGGTTTCTTGTGGAAGCTTGCTGGTGGACTGGCCTGCACTGTATGCACAGACATGCGCAGGGGAATCGACACAGAGACGGTATCACACATAGTTGTTTCATGTCGGGACATGCTGATCTATGCGTCATCTGCTCTCGTGGGCACGGCATCGGGCATGTAACATGGAGATCGCATTGACCTGTGTTCGCGGTATCCCGCCACTGTACATGGGTCGTGGTTCGGGGCACGGTGGGCAAAAGGACTGCGTTGGTGAATCCAAGAACTCCCAGCCGAGCTATTGGATGTACTGTGGCGGGGGGGTCCTGAGAATAAGCTTGTAGATCATTCGGTTATCTGGGACGCTGGCATCTTCGGAGCTTCCGGGGGGGCCTCTTGAGGGCCACGCGGGAGCAATTTGGGAGGCCTCTCTATGGCCTCGTGTGGTCCTGTCCTCTTGGGGGCCAGTGGGCCTCTTAGAGTCTGCGGTTGTGGGGCCTCTTGGTGGCCCTGGGGCACGCTCTTGAGGCCGAAGCCCATCCGCAGCAATTTGGGTTCAAGGTGTCCACAGTGGGGGCCCTCAGCCTCTGTGCTGGGCAGGATTCAGCTGTTCCGCGGCTGGTTCTCACGGTAGCGTCTCGCTGGGGCGCAGGCGTTTGCCTGTGGCAATAGCGACGGCGGGAGGACAACGTGGGCACCGCGGGGGCGGAACGTGGGGATGTGTCAGTGTGTGTGTGGGCGGAGAAAGGAAAACTGTCACATGGCGTAGGTGGTGTCGACGGTATGGTGCAGCCTTCCCGGCAGTCCCACGTTTTCAAACAGGTGCTTGGAGGCCCCCACACCGAGAGAGCGATAGATATAACAAAACAAACTAAAAGGGAACGGGAGGGAAAGAGAGAGAGAGAGAGAGAGAAACACCTCCACAAAGAAGTTTGACGCCATGCGTGATGAGCTCCGAGCAGTTGAGGCAGCAACGGGGTGGATCCGCGACATGGAGGCAGATGTGCCCCATAAGGTCGACTTCGACAAGTCTTACACGCGGGCGCAACACTACAAGGGCATAGAGGGAAATATTTGACGGAGTACATGTCAATGCGTGACAAGTACCAGAGGGCCCGAAAAAAGACAAGGACGGATGCAGATCGCCTGCGCACCGAAGACGGCAGGACCGAGACCCCGACCCGCGATAAGGCGGACAAGGAGATCATCGGAGTACAGCAGGCAGTGGCAACTACACAGTAGCATCTGGAAGACGCAACGGAAGCGTGATCACAGAAAGAGACGGCAGCCAAAGATGCGGCTGCAAAGGAGCAGGGGCTCAATATGTGCGCAGGGGGTTGAGAAGCCAGTCGACTTCCCCAACGCTTTTCAGAAGCAGCACGAGGGGGGGAGGGCATCGACGGAAGCGGTGTCCCACGCACAGATTTCGCATCGGCTTTCGACATCCTGGCCAAGGTGGTCGGCTATTCGAAGGCCCCTCATGCTCTTGCTACTCTTGCCCAGGCACGCAGTGGGCGGGGCGGACCAGAAAGTTGCGGAGGAGCGGCAGCAGCAGGTGTTGAAAACGTGCCCATGGGTCCAGAGCTCACCGAGGAAGAGGGGCAGGGGCTCAGGGCAGGTCGAGCCCGTTACGAACGCCACGGGGTAGCAAAAGAAGCGATGGGGTGTGATTCTCACCAGTTTCGCGGAGAGCGCAGCCAAGCGCGAGCTGCGTGGGTAGCAAAGGGGGGGAGAACAACGGGCGCGGCAATATCACCTTTTGGACTTTCAACTGTTCAGATGGGGGAACCCGCAATAATGATATCTGCGAGGAAGAGCAGGGGGTCTGCAGTGCCACGCAGTGCAGGGGCATCGGCCCACGCAAAAGGGGCAGGAGTTTCGCGGAGCATGCGAGTGCAGGGTCACCAGTTGGGAGGTTCCAAGGCGGCGCCGATCGAATGTCCTGCAGGGGGAGCGAGCTCGTCGGCGGGAGGGACCTCCAGTGGTGCCGAGGGACGCGCGCGGGGAAGACAAATGGGATATCTTCTTGAGAGCCAGCCCTGGTCTAGCGACGGCAGGGTGGCCCGCGATGGGCAAACCGTTGGCGGGCGGTTCAAAATAGTTGTGGTCGGCAGAGGGCGCGCCCCTTGATATCTCGGCCTGATCGGGCACGTCATGGAGGCCGTTCACAGTTAGGGGTTCCGTGGGTTGTCGCGAGTGACTTCCAGCTGGGGCTGGAGATAGTCAGAGCTGGACTGCCTGGAGCTGGCGAAAACATGCGCAGTGGCACCGCTGGCAGCGCGTGGGGCGCGCAGGCGCGCGCGCGGCTCCAGCGCCGTCGGCTACTCCATCGTGGGCGACAGCATCGGGGGGCAGGAGGTAATGATTGAGTCGCGGGGTGAGTGGCCGTCGCCGCCGCGCAGATCAGCGGGCCTCACCCCTCGGCTAATTGCGAAGGGAAGAAGGGCGCGGATCTGCCGGAAGTCGAATTCGTTCGTCGGGCGCGCGCTGATGTTGCCGACGCAAAGCGTGGTGCCGGATTTCGCGGTCGAGAGCGTTGCCATGGAAAGGTCTGGAGGCAGTTCGCGATGCGGCTGGATCAGAAAGCATTCGCGATCGGAGGCGCGCGCTGGAAAGGGGCGACCGGCGCGCGGGCGGGGCTGAGTTCCCAGCGCGAAGCGCAGCCCGCGGACGCAGTCTGGCGGAGGTTGCCCGCGAGATCCCTGCGCAGCTTGCATGGGGCAAGCCAGAAGGCGCGCGCAACGACGGCGCATCGCCGCAGGGGGCGACAGGGGGCCGCGCAGCACGGGGATCTCGCCAGAGCGCGCGCACTGGTTGAGGGGCCTGGACAAGTGGAGACGGGGCCCATGGCAGGCCAGGCGCGAGTTCAGAGCGCAACAGAAGCGCGGGCCGCGATGGGGGCGACAGGGAGCCGCGCAGCACGGGGATCTCGCCAGGGCGCGCGCGCGCCGGGCGAGGGGCCTGGACGAGTGGGGCCGGGGCCCATGGCAGGCCAGGCGCGAGCTCACGGCGCGAGAAAGGCGCGGGCCGGCCATCGCCAAGGGAGACGCGCCGGAAGCGGCGCGACCAGGCGGCGGCGAAGATGGGGCAGCGCGACAACGGGCCAACGCGCCGGAGGCGTGAGGCGCGGGCAGGGCAGCCAGGGGCGGCGGCAGCACGAGGTGCAGGTGGTCCACCAGGCTCGACAAGCTGGCGCCGGCACGGGGCCCGAGGCCCGAGGCGCGCGGGGCGGGCGGGCGGGCAGCTGATCCATCGGGGGCAGCGGACTTCGCCCCCGCTGAGTGGAACGCGGCTTGGAGGGCGGCCGGCCCAATGCAGGCCAAAGTCGCGGGAGTCGGGCGACAGGGGGAGTTGCTTGGCTTCGGCGAGGAGGGCGCGGTCTCGCTCAGCGAGGCGCCGAGGGCCTTCAGGGAGAAGACAGGCGTCGGCGTTGTTTCGCGGCACGGGCCCCCGCTGACCGGCGCGACGGGCGAGGTGCGCGCCGAGATCCTGCAGACGCCGCGCGCGATCGAGCGCGCGTTGATCATCTGGTCAGGGCAAATTGCCACGGAGCGCCCGAGCCCGGCGCGCGCCGCGAGGGCGGCGCAGAAGGCGCTTGTCGGCGGCAGCTGGGCCATGAGTAGGCTGCGCGGGAATAGCATCGCTCCGAACGGCATCTGCTTAGGATGAGCGGCGGGAGGATAGCCTGCTGCGGGCGAGGGGCCTCGTCCGGAGCCCCGAGGTGGAGCGCGGCGGGGCTTCGAGGTCGCGGGCGAGGACCGGCGCGACTGCGAGGCCAGGCGCGGCGATGACGATTGCCATTCAGGGGGCGTCGCGCGCGGCGGCTTCAAGTTGGGCCACGGCGAGGGCCCGGGCTGGGCGAGCGGCGGTGCCGCCAATTGACGAGGGGGGCGACGGCGCAGCAACGGGGCCCGGTGCCTCGCGAGATGGCGGCGCAAAGAACGGTCGAGCGAACGGGGCCGCGAGTTTTTCTCAAAGTGCTGGCGCGCGCCCTCCCAGCCTGCAAGATCGCTACGGGCCAGAAGGGCGCTGTGACGGCCGGCGAGAGAAGGAGAGAGGTGGCGCACCTGCCGGCAGCGGCCGCGCGCAGACCTTCGGCATCGGACATTGCGCAAGGTACAGGGCCTGGGGATGAAGTTGGACATTGACAACTACGCAATGGCACAGCGCCCCAAGGCCAACTCCGACGAGCTAGAGGGCAAAGTGCCCAGGGTGGCGACGGGCAGCGGGGCAGTGGAACTGCTGGCGACAGCTGGGGCCGAGGAGGGCGCGCACTTCGGGGGGGGGCCAGGCGCCGGCGAAGCTCGGCGCCAATGTTAGACGGGCAGCGCAGCAGAACCTCAGCGGGCGGTGCCAGAAGATGTCGGGGGAGTGGCCTGACGCACCGAAAGGGGAACCAGGAAGGCCAACCAAGACCTACCGAAACCTCACGAGGCACACGGTCGAGAAGAAGGGCCAGTGGACCGCGCGCGCGCGTTGTGGGAAGCGGGCGGCGTCGGCTCGGACGTGATGGAAGGTCGGCTGCGGGGGTCGGGATGCCCGCTGCCGCCGTGGATGCAGCGCGTGGGTCGCTCGGTCTACGGGGGCGCGCGCGGCAGTGGCGGCGGTGGCTGCAGGCGGATGTGGAGAGAGTGCGACGGACGGCGAGCTGCAGCAGGCGAGGGGCCGCAGGGTAGAGGTACACGGCCCATACGTCGCATGAACGGCCCACTCGGCCAGGAGGAGGGCTGGGCGTGGCGCCCCGTGCCCAAGTCCCCTCGCGCGGAAGGGAATCAAGGCGAGGGACGATGGGAAACGGAAGAGGAGAAATTGCATCCTTGCGGTTCGGCACACACAGACGAACAAGTTGCGCAAGAGCGTGCAGATGCAGGTGCCAGGGCGCCGGGGACACAAAGCTGACGCACGAGTGTGAGCAGTTCGACCAGGCTGAGGTTTCAGGCTGCGCCAGGGCGCGGGTCGGGCCTCTCGGCGGGTTCCGCCGTGGGCTATGGGGAAAAATCAAAACGATCTTGAAACCGAAAAGATGAGACAGATAATCCGTGAAGGCCGAAAGGACGATAATAGTTGCCGACCCATATCAAAAACATACGTAGAGTTACCAACTTCTGTCAAAACAAGATCCCAGCAAAGCAACCTAACAGCGATGTGTCTAGACATAGATGGAAGCATTCCCCTTACGATCCAGGTGAGAATCCAGTTGTAGAATTCTGCTGTTCTCTCAGTCGCAGTCGCATACGCAGTGGCAGTCGCAGTGGCAACGGCCTTAGGACCCAATGGGATCCTAGGGATTCCTACGAATTCCTCAGGCATCCTTAGGCATCCTTAAGAATCCATAGGAATCCCTAGGAATCCTGATTCCTATGGATTCCTATGGATTCCTAGGATCCCCAAGGAATCCCAAGGACTCCGAAGGATTCGCCTGCATCGGTCTCAGCCTCAGCCTGCCTCAGCCTCAGCATGCCTCGGCCTCGGCCTCAGCCTGTCTCAGCCTCAGCCTGCCCCAGCATCAGCCTCAGCCTCAGCCTCAGCCTCAGCCTGCCTCGGCTTGCCTCGGCCTCAGCCTCAGCCTGCCTCAGCTTCAGCCTCAGCCTCAGCCTGCTTCAGCCTCAGCCTCAGCCTGCCTCATCCTCAGCCTGCATCAGCCTCAGCCTCAGCTTGCCTCAGCTGCAGCTTGCCTCAGCCTCAGCCACAGCCTCAGCCTCAGCCCCAGGCTGCCTCAGCTTCAGCCTCAGCCTCGGCCTGCCTCGGCGTGCCTCAGCCTCAGCCTCAGCCAGCCTCGGCCTGACCTCGGCCTCAGCCTGCCTCAGCCGCAGCGTCAGCCTCTCAGCCTCAGCCTGCATCAGCCTCAGCCTCAGCCTATCTCAGCCTCAGTCTCAGCCTGCCCTCAGCCTCAGCCTGCCTCAGCCTCAACTTCAGCCTGCCTCGGCCTCAGCCTGCGTCAGCCTCAGCCTCAGCCTGCCTCAGCCTCAGCCTGCCTCAGCCTCAGCCACAGCCTGCCTTGGCGTGCCTCAGCCTCAGCCTGAGCCTGCCTCGGCCTCAGCCTGCCTCGGCCTGAGCCTGCCTCAACTCGGGCATTCAAAATATGGCACAGGACTGGTGTTCTGGGAACACGAAGATCACGAAGTGGCCCACAGTTGGCTCCGGGCAATCAAAATATGGTGCAGGAGTGGTTGTCCGGGAACACGAAAAAACACGAAGTGGCCTACAGTTGGCTCCGGGCATTCAAAATGTGGCCTGGGAATGGTGTTCTAGGAACACGAAAAACACGAAATGGCCCACAGTTGGTTCCGGGCATGCAGAATTTGGCCTGGGAATGGTGTTCTGGGAAGACGAAAAACTCGAAGTGGCTTACAGCTGGCTCCGGGCATTCAAAATGTGGCCTGGGAGTGGTGTTCTGGGAACACGAAGAACACGAAGTGGCTTACAGTTGGCTCCGGGCATTCAAAATGGGGCCTTAGAGTGGTTTTCTGCGAATGGATTTCTAAGGATTCCTAAGAACCCACAAGGATTCCTAAGGATTCCTGGGGCTGCACTGTTGTCCCGGATCCCGCCCAGACCCCCCTGGGGCGTCAATATGTTCTCTTTTGGTCCCACTAGAAACGTATCAGTAACAGTTGTTAGGTTATATGTTCTTACAGTACCTGGCCGCTCGCCGGCCCCCAGGGCTCACAAGACGGCCCAACAGGCCCCCAACGAGCTTTAAGACAGGCCCGTGGGTCCATCTGTGGGCATGCCTGAAGCTTACAATCCCGACCACGGTTCCTGGGCCCCGCGGGAAATCATGTGGCAAGCGCCCGGAGCCCGCGGGAGCTACCGAGGGTACTTGTGAGCGGAGGACCCCTTGCCTTGAGTAGTTTCTCCCCTTCCCTCTCCCGTTCTTCCTCCATCCTGCCCCTCTTCGTGCATCATGGTTTCTCCAGACTTCTGTTCCACTGTATGCTCCTCCACTTCCCTGGTCAGGGCAAGTCCCTTGGGCATGGAGGCTGGAGGCGGGTGCTTGGGTCACGCGGAGCGTTGATAGTTCAGAATGACGTACAAATCGTTTTGGCGTTTTTTATACGAAACAGGGGGCAGAGACGCTCCATCCGCCACTGTACCGTCGGTACTGAGTGGGGTGCTCTCCGAGCCTTCGTCATGATGCCGCGCTCCCCTTGTGGGGACAGCTCCCCTCGGCATCGTTTCTGGCTAGGCTGGTGGGTTTCCGCGTGGCGTCGCACATTTTTCCAATGCTCTACCAGGACACTGGGTGCAGATGGGGCGTTCCAGAAATGGCCTTGCCTTCGAGAGTCGAAGGAGTTGTCATCTCTTCCGCCGCGAAAGGCGGCGGAAGGCCGGTGGAAGTAAAACGAGGCCGCCTCCGCTGGCGGAAGCTCGGCGGAAGGCGGAGGAAGTAGAAAATGCGTTCCCAAGAGATGAACACGTTTTTGGGTTCAGGGTTTCCGAAATCGCCCACATGGCACAGCAGGACTGGGCGAGTGCTGCGTACACATCTGGCCAGATATCTTTTGAGCGCTGGGCCCTTCCATGGCCATGTGCACAGGACTCCCGCAGACGTCTCAAGCGCTTGGCCCCCGTATGTTCCACATGTGAATCCAGCCATGCGTGTTTCCTTTTTTACTTGTTACACCAAGGGCCGACAAGGACTTCAGGGCAGTCCACTACGTGGCAGAGGCGTTGTGTCACATACATGCTGTAGGGGTCGACGTTTCTAGAAGTACAGGTCGCCACTTGAGCGTGCAATGATGAGATCATGCACCGCCAGCATGCGTGTCAACTGATCGGTTTGTTTGGCTATTGTTGAATGTATTGTGTTGTGTTGCTCTCTGCGAGGTTTGTCCGTGTCTGCCGCTTTGGACGCTCTGGAGTTGTTCGGGCACTACCGCGATTCCCGCGCTGGACGTGCCAGGACCCCCGCGCGCAGCATGCAGCTACGAGGCGATGGCTCGCTGAACTCGAACATAAGGGAACAGGTGTCATCAACATCCATAGTGGACGCGGCAAGGCGGCATGTTATGTCCGACTGAATGCGCCAATGCGACAATGCGACAATGCGTGTGCAGCATGCGCCCCCGATACGCCATGCATTAGCAAGAGCATCTCAGGGATAAGAGCGTCGTGCTCCCTTGTCGCTGGCGCCGCTGACGCGTAGATTGTTGATTCCACCTCCCTGCAGTTTGCAGCCATCCATGCGCGGTGCGAGTAGCAGTTGCCGGTGCGTGTTGCTGCCGTGCACTTCTTGCTTGAACTACGCACAGACGGCCGCCCAGGTACGCACGCAGAGGCAGAACCACGCAGGGGCAGGTGCACGCAGGAGCATGCAGACATACGCAGTGGCAGACACACGCCCAGGCATACGCAAAGCAGCACAAGCATTATCTTGATGCCGCTACTATGTAGTAAGTATTACTACGACTAGTTACGCTTCTTCCTACCCTCGCAACGGCTAGTTCCACTACGATTAAATGAATAGTATGGCTGCTATTACTAGTAGTAATTTAACTCACTCAGCTTGCTAAGTGTTCGTGCTACTTGTGAGCGTTACGACTGCGACTAGTAATGCTACGAGCACTCCTGGTCTTGTTATTACATCTACTGTTATTTGCACCGAGTGGTTTTAGCACGGCCACTGGGTTCCTGCATTAAACAATTGTTGCGAACCCCACTTATCACCACTGCGACGATTGCCACTGCGAATGATTTCTAACGCCAGCACGCGGGCCAGAATTACAAGTGGCATGCGTGCCCTGGCTCTTGCACAAAGGAGCTGCGAAGGACTGCAGGCCCGCGCACCCTTCCAGGAGGGGGTCACGGAGGAAGGCTCCCAAGGGGGGGTGGCCCAGGGGAGCTGGGGCTCAGGCTCAGGGGCGGGTCGAGGGGGACGAACCACCACGAACCACGACGAAAAATAAAGGGCTCCGCGGCCCAGGGGGGCTGCCCTGGGAAACCTGGCTCCCAAGGGTGGGTGGCTCAGGGGAGCTGGGGCTCAGGCTCAGGGGGGGCCGAGGGGGACGAACAACCACGAGCCACGAACCACGACGAAAATAAGGATGTCCGCGGCCCAGGGGGGCTGCCCTGGGAAGCCTGGACGGAGCAAGCCTCCGAAGGGTGGGTGGCCCAGGGGAGCTGGGGCTCAGGCTCAGGGGAGGGGCCGAGGGGGACGAACCACCACGAACCACGAACCACGACGAAAATAAATATGTCCGAGCTCTAGAGCACAGTTGTGCAAGAGAATACAGGGTCCGGAGCGAGGGGGGCTGGGGCCAGGGCCCGGGGGGGAGCCGGAGCCAGGGGGGAGGCGAGGGGAAGCAGGGGCCAGGGCCAAGGGGGCCAGAGCCAAGGGGTGGGGGGGCGAGGACGACGACGAACCACGAACCACGAACCACGAAAATGAAGGGTCCAGAGCGAGGGGGGCAGCCGGGCTGGGGCCAGGGCCAGGGTGGCCAGAGCCAAGGGGGGGGCGAGGGGAAGCTGGGGCCAGGGCCAAGGGGGCCAGAGCTAAGGGGGGCGAGGGGAAGTTGGGGCAAGGGCCAGGGAGGCCAGAGCCTAGGGGTGGGTGGCGGGGACGACAACGAACCACGAACCACGAACCACGAAAACAACAAAGGGTCCGGAGCGAGGGGGGCTGGGGCCAGGGCCAGGAGGGCGGGAGCCAGGGGGGGAGGCCAGGGGCGGGCCAGAGCCAGGGGGGGAGGGCGAGGACGACGACGAACCACGAACCACGAACCACGAACAGAAAGGGTCCAGAGCGAGGGGGGCTGGTGCCAGGGCCAGGGTGGCCGGAGCCAGAGGGGGCGAGGCGAGGGGGGCTGGGGCCAGGGCCAGCGGGGCCATAGCCAAGGGGGGGGGGGGCGAGGGGAAGCTGGGGGCCAGGCCAGGGGGCTGAGACGAGAGCCAGGGGGGGGGGGCGGGGACGACGACGAACCACGAACCCCGAACCACGAAAATAAAGTGTATGGGGCGAGGGGGGCTGAGGCCAGGGCCAAGGGGGCCAGAGCACGGGGCGAGGGGGGCTGAGGCTAGGGCCAGGGGGGCCAGAGCCAGAGGGGGAGGTCGAGGGGAAGCTGGGGCCAGGGCGAGGGGGGTTGAGACCAAGGCCAAGGAGGCCAGAGCCAAGGGGGGGGCGAGGGGGGCCAGAGCGAAAGGGGGCGAGGGGAAGCTGGGGTCAGGGCCAGGGGGACTGGAGCCAAGGGCTGGGACGACGACGAACCACGAACCACGAACAACGAAAATGAAGGGTCCGGAGCGAGGGGGGCTGGGGCCAGGGCCAGGGGGGCGGGAGCCAGCGGGGGGAGGCCAGGGGCGGGCCAGAGCCAGGGGGGAGGGCGAGGACGACGACGAACCACGAACCACGAAAATAAAGGGTCCGGAGCGAGGGGGGCTGGGGCCAGGGCCAGGGTGGCCAGAGCCAGGGGGGGCGAGGCGAGGGGGGCTGGGGCCAGGGCCAGCGGGGCCAGAGCCAAGGGGGGGGGGGCGAGGGGAAGCTGGGCCCAGGCCAGGGGGGCTGAGACCAGAGCCAGGGGGGGGGGGGCGAGGACGACGACGAACCACGAACCACGAACCACGAAAATAAAGGTCCGGGGCGAGGGGGGCTGAGGCCAGGGCCAAGGGGCCAGAGCACGGGGCGAGGGGGGCTGAGGCCAGGGCCAGGGGGGCCAGAGCCAGAGGGGGGGGGAAGCAGGGCCAGGGCGAGGGGGGGAGGCCAAGGGGCCTGCCAGAGCCAAGGAGGGCGAGGGGCCAGAGCCAAGGGGGGGGCGAGGGGAAGCTGGGGTCAGGGCCAGGGGGGACTGGAGCCAAGGGGGGCGAGGGGAAGCTGGGGCCAGGGCCAGGGGGCCAGAGCCAAGGGGGGGAGGGCGAGGACGACGACGAACCGCGAACCACGAACCACGAAAATACAGGGTCCCGAGCGAGGGGGGCTGGGGCCAGGGCCAGGGTGGCCGGAGCCAGGGGGTAGGGCGAGGCGAGGGGGGCTGGGGCCAGGGCCAGGGGGGCCAGAGCCAAGGGGGGGGGGGGGGGCGAGATGAAGCCGGGGCCAAGGCCAGGGGGGCTCAGGCCAGAGCCATGGGGTGGGGCGAGGACGACGACGAACCACGAACCACGAACCAGGGTCCGCGGCGAGGGGGGCTGAGGCCAGGGCCAAGGGGGCCAGAGCATGGGGCGAGGGGGGCTGAGGCCAGGGCCAGGGGGGCCAGAGTCAAGGGGGGCGGGGCGAGGGGAAGCTGGGGCCAGGGCGAGGGGGGCTGAGACCAGGGCCAAGGGGGCCAGAGCCAAGGGGAGGGCGAGGGGGGCCAGAGCGAAGGGGCGGGCGAGAGGGGGGGCGAAGGGAAGCTGGGGCCAGGGCCAGGGGGACTTGAGCCGAGGGGGGCGAGGGCCAGAGCACGGGGCCAGGCAAGGGGGGCTGGGGTGAAGGCCAGGGGGGCCAGAGCCAAGGGGTGAAGGGGGGGGGGCGAGGACGACGACGGGGCGAGGGGGGCTGAGGCCAGGGCCAGGGGGGCGCGAGGGGGGCCAGAGCGAAGGGGGGGGGGGGGCGCTGAGGCCAGGGCCAGGGGGGCCAGAGCCAAGGGGAGGGCGAGGGGAAGCTGGGGCCAGGGCCAGGGGAAGCCGAGGACGACGGCGAACCACGAACCACGAACCACAAAAATAAAGAGGTCCGAGCTCTAGAACACAACTCTGCAAGAGAATTCATTTTCCGCGCTCACAGGCGCTGAGATAACGCTCCGGGCGGGGCGCGCGCGATGCCCTGGCATGGATCGCCCCCGCGGGCGGCCGACGAACACAATTTTCTCGGTGAGGCTTGCTATAGGAATCCCATAAGGTTGCGGCGGGCAGAAAGAAAAAGGAAGCCTTGGAATCTAGCCCCATCTCGAAATATCACAACTGGTACGACGTTTCTTCCGTGCGACGTGTCCTTCGCGCAACGCGTCTTTCGCGGGGGGTGGAGCGGCGACGGTGGTGGGGGGGGGGGTGGAGCCCGTCTCGGCGTATTCCTACTACCATGAAGTGTCAATGCTATTACTCCGGTTCTAATTAGTACTCTTACCATGATTGCGAACATCTTATTACTATTATTATTATTATTGTTGTTGTTGTTCTTATTGTTATTGTTATTATTATTATTATTATTATTATTACGACCGCTACGCGGAGCCTCTAAACCTTATTCTTGATGAGTGTCAGTATTCATAAAACGATTATCGCTTCTACTATTCGTAACTACCTTACTCGCATTATCAATGCCCCCCCCATTACGTAGCCAAAGCACGCATGAGTTCCACTGCCACTTTATCATTGCCACGACTAGTCGCTGGCGGGGCACATTTTTCGCCACCGCTCCGCGGTGCTAGAACCACGCGCCGCGCGGAGCGGGGACGCGCCACAGCCGACGGAAGTCAATTTCTCGCCAAGGATTGCATTGGGAATCGCATGCGGCGGGGACGATGGAGAAACACCAGATCAGTGCTGTTACAGAAGTTCACGGTTACTTTTATCAATCGCGTTGCAAATGATATTGCTGGCTGCTATCGCTCCCATCGCGATCAGCAACCGCGCGCTGAGCGGCGAGGCCAGCTTGCAGCGAGCTCAGTCCAGCTGGCGAGGCCACAGGCCAGCGCATTCTGTGTATGCCATTGAGTTCTGCGATTCGCACGAGCACTCTCCAGCAGCGCCCATAGTCAGGATATTATTGAGGTTTCTTTGGATTTGGGGATTCTTGAGATTTCTCTGGTCTTGGGATTGATCCGGATTCCTGAGATTCCTCCAGATGTCGTAGGATTCTGGGGGTCGTTGAGGAGTCTCTGGGTTCGGGGATTCTGAGGGTTCCTCGTGATGCATGGGGATCCATTGAATTCGCCCGGATTTTTGGCATTCTTGAATTTGTTCGTGACGTCTTGGGATTAGCGTGTTGTTTGTGGATTTCGTGGATCTCTTCGGAATTCATTGGCTTTCTTGTAAATTTCGCGGTGTCGCAGGGTCCTGTCCGCATCCGCGCATGCTCAGGTGATTTGCCGGGGCAATGCCGCGCTCCCCGCCCCGGCGCGGCGGAGCTCAATGGCCCGCGCCCCCTGGCGTCCGAGTCAGCGCCAGCGCGCGCCAGGTCTTTGTAGGCCCCGGCAGGCATTGAGGTGCAACAGGTGCCGGCCAGCATCCCGTCGCCCAGGTCGGCATTCAACGAATGCGCGCGGGCTTCAACTTAAATCAACATTTTCATGACAAGCTTGGACGTGGAAGAGAAGTATGGTTTTGTGGGGCTGTCTGGCACGGTGCTAAATTTCTCGTTCGGCGATAATCCCCGCCTGTTTTTTTCCTTCGCGGCGCAGACATACCGCCGGGGGGTCTCAAAAACTTCCGCGGGATACCCGAGTCTCGGAGGTCCTAGCAGGGCTCAATCTCACCCTGGCCATTCCGAAGGCCTAGGACAGTCTGAAGGGCTTTGGAGAAGAACCAGTACTAGCAGCAGTCATGCTGGGATGTGACTCTCCTGCTGGACACCATTTCCGAATCCGAGGAGCCAGGGCCCAAATCAAAAGAGGCAGATTAAGATTCGGGCAATATTCGATGCATTCCAACACCTCCGTCTCCAGCGCGAACGGCTGCCTTTTCAGGGTGGGCGTGTCATTGCGGGGGCATGTAGGTCATGTCCTACGGCGCAGCGACCCAAGTTTCTACGCCCGCCAAAACCAGAGGCCTCCGCAAGCTTGGAGCCGCCGCCCCATGACGCAACGCCAGCGCAGCCGACAACAATCGATGGTGGGCGACAGTTATAGATGCAGATCCCATCCAGATAATCCCACGGGTGGTGAACATATATGCTTCAGACTGGTTGTGGGATTCGCATATCCGGCCTGAGCTTACCACTTACCAGGACACATTTTCGATTGATTGGCTTTAAGCAGCGCGCGAGGGAGCAGTCCACGCACTAGCAAGCAGGAAGAACACGAGCTGGCTAGTAAAGGCCAAAGGGTTTGTTTCGCAAGTGCTTCTGTGGGCCCAAGTTGTAGGGCGGTCAGCGCCAACGACCCGTTGCTCTTGTGGGCTGGGCGGCGCCCAGTGGGATGTCTTAATGTGACCACATGGTTAAACAAATGCGACCCCCCCCTCTCCGCCCCCCCCTCCCCCAGAAACAAGGAACGCCCCGATTAGGATTTTCGCCCGGAAACTTTTTTAAAAAGAAAAGCAATAATATAAAAAAAGAAAAAAACACGCGTCCTTCCGCTACCCTCGCTCCGCCTCTACCCGTTTTTTTATAGTTGTTGTTTTTTTTCTTTTTCCGCTTCCGCTTGTTATTATTATGTTTAAATGTGCCCCCACTTTTGGTTTCCTTTTTTGTCGGAAACACCGCGCACCCAGGACAAAAAAACTGCGAGAGGGAAGGGGGGAGAGGGGGCGGAAAGGGAACGGGAAGGGTCCGCGAATGGGGGCTCCCACGCGCGGATGACCACGACCCCGCCTCCCCTCAGCCGCGGCCGCGGCTGGGGGGGGGAGGGGTCGTGAACGTTCGTGCCGACCCCCTGTTCGCGGGCGAATGGGGGCTCCCACGGGCGGGGGCGAAGGTCACGACCCCCCTCCCCTCCAGTCCTGAGGGCGGGAGGGGGGCGAGGGTCGTGACTGCCCGCCCCAACCCCCTGTTCGCTCAGACCCCGTGGTCCGCGTGAGGGGTGCGTTTCTTGGACCGAGGAGGCGCTCGCGGTCGCGGGACCGGCGGGCTGCCTGACGCCGCCTGTCAGGGGGAGAGGGAAGGCGGGGAGGAGAGGGGACGAGGGGGGAGACGGAAGGCGGGGAGGAGAGGGGAGGAGGGGCGGCGAGGGGAACCACCTCCGGCCTCCCCCTCCCCCGCTCTCTTCCCCCCCCCCCCATTCCCCCCCCCCGCCGGCACCGCCGCCCGCTTCGCCGCCGCCCTGGGCTCAAAGCGTCCGGCGTCGCGGCGCCTAATCGTGCCCCGCGCGCCCCCCCCGGAAAAGTTGTATATATATATATATACACATATATGTATATATAAATATACAAATCGCGTCGCTTCCGGTTTTTATATAGAAAATCGTTTGGTCATATTAATCATGGCCTCGCGCAGACTTGCAGGTCGCACGGCAGCGCCGCGCAAGCAGCAGCTGGTATGAATGTGCGTTTGCCCCAGGCGTGAGCCAGACGCGCCCGTCGCGGTTGAGAGCTCGCGGCCTGCGGGGTTTGCCAGCGTAGTTAGCGGCAAGCGCCTCGCTCGTCAGCGGGAGATTTGCGCGCAGCGCGCTCGCGGTGGAACGCCGGCCGCTGGCGTCGAGCTCGAGGCTTGGGGCTTCCAAGAGGTAGGGCCGTGTCCATTGAGTGGGAGACGGGGCGCGACCTACCGCGGAGTATGGCAGCACTCGCGCGGCCAGGGAATGCGCCAACAGTATGTGGTACTAGTTTAGAAGCAGCAGAGGCGACAGCCTGCTTTCAGCGCGCCGCTGGCCAGCTCAGCCAGGGCCCCAGCTGCCCCAGCCCACCAACACATAGGACCCCAATTCAGCAAGAAGGAATATATGGTGAAACAGCTGAGCCATGTGGAGAGGTAGATTCGGGATCTTTCAACCCTGACCGTCCGACGCACGCGGATGGACCCTGACTGCCCCCCACCCTGGCGTTGTTAGCAATAGTTGGGTGTGCAGCAGCAAAGCTAGATGCAGCAGGCAACCGCATTAGGGCTCCGAGGGGCCCATTGCCAGCAGCATGCCCGCAGAGTTCAGGTCGCGCAGAGAGCGCGGCGCTGATGGCAGTCCACAGGTACGCTACTTGGCTGCAAGAGGCCCCGTTGATTGTGGACTACGCCGCGTTGGCGAAGGGTTGCAATGCCCCGCGCAGGCGCTTCGTGGCCCCAGCGAGTTTGCAGAGCGTTGGCGGGCAATGGGGAACACACACCTGCCGCCAGATCAACAAACCCGCATCATCAAGACCAAGGCCCGCTGGCCAGAAGAGGACGCGCAGCATGCAGCAGGGCAGCGGACTGGCGTGCAGGCCAAGTCGCGTTGCCCCATGCCCTCAGCACAGACGACATGGACAAGTTTGAAGCTGTGGTCCTCGGGCATAGAGACTTCGTGTAGGGATTTGGCAAACTTTCGAGTCCGTGCCCTAAGGCGTGAAACATCTGGGGCAAGCTTTTTAAGTCGCCCCCCGAGGGAAAAGGCCAGGCCCTTCCCCCAAAAAACATACTCCTGTATGGCACGAAGGCAACTACCGATGCCATTCCTGCTTTCGCAAAATTGAGCCAGCCGCGCGCTTCCCTTGTGAAGGGGCCAACCCGGCCATCTCAGCTGCACTTGACAATGGGCCCAGTTCGGGTCACGCACTGCACGCATCAAGTCTTATAGGGCGCCAGATCCCGATCACGTTCTGCGCCTAGCGCGGAATAGTTTCAATTTGCAAGCCAACCGAGCAAGACCAAGAACATGTCCGAGACCCATGAATTTCACATCGGAGTGTAGTAAGCCTTTACGGGGCCGAGTGCCAAGGTCCACGGTTCGTTTTGAAGGTGCCATCTTTATTTCAGACCTAGCTGTAGCAGTCCACGGGCAGCAGCGGCAGACAGGCGCCAGCCTTTCAGGCTCAAGCGCCCCTTAGCAACATTGTCGAGGGTATGTCTGGACGGTTCCACGTCTGCGCACACTTTTCTTGTGCGTGGAAGGAGGGCGCCGAGCGTAGATCTGGGCGGAAATGAGGCCACGCAATCCAGTTTGTGTTCGCCGTGGGCTGACGAAGCAGAGCAGGAGGTCAAGGAGGGTGCGAGCATTGTCGAGGGGATGCAGGACGGGAGCGAGTCCGAGGACGAGGCGATGCCCACGTCGAATTGCCCGCCGGCGTCGAGTTCTGCAGGGGACGATGCGAGCGCGGCCCCGCCCGAGCGCATCCCTGTGATGTCCTGGGCGGCAGGGGCCGATGGCCCCAAGCCGCAAGCCACGCCCCCTGCTCAAATTGTTGTCCCCGCTGCTGCTGGCCTCAAGATGCCGAGGCAGAGTACTATCCCCATCCTCTCCTCTGGCCCTCCCCGTCCTCCATGGCTTTTCGGGCGATCCTGAATCGCGAAGTGAGCGTTGGCCTGGCGCCCTTGTTCGCCCCCCTTGTGGCCTCGCGCCCCCTCTTGGATAATGCCCCTTCTGATTTGCCCTGCCTTTTGCTGGAAAGCCGAACGTTGCAGTAGCAGTTCGGATGGGGTGGTAGGATCGAGGAAGGGAAAACTACATGAAGCGCTGGGCCCCCCTGGCGGCGCCTCCGGCGCCGCCCCTGGCGCGTTCCGCGCGCCAAGGATGGGGGGTCCAGCGTAGATCCAAGAAGTCCGCGCGGAGCGCCAACGGTTTCTGTTTATGGCGTTTTTCTGTTATCCTCCTGCGGGAGGGGGGCAGATCAGGAGAAGGGGGGGAACGCGGGTAAAGCATGGGCGCCCAACGTACCGACGAAGTTGGGCCAGCAAGGGCAGTCCGTCCAGCATGCGCCGCCCACATGCGCCAGTCTCTTGACCCTCCCCTGCTCCTCAATTGCCTCGGGGTGGGCTGTGCTTGCGCTGCGCGACCTGACCCAGTTGCCAACAAGAAGAAAGAAACCCCAGGATGAGGACGAACACCAGCAGCAGAAAGCACTGCAAGTGGGAGCAGGAGGATGGGCCTGGGCACGAGTACGAGGAGGAGGAGGGGGAGGTGGAAGGAACATCATGAAATCGAGCACACATATCATGAGGAGGAGGAGGAGTAGGAGGAGGAGGAGGGGGAAGAGGAGGAGGAAGAGGAGGAGGAGGAGAAGGAGGAGGATATCGTGGAGGAGGATATCGTGGAGGAACAGTAAGAAGAGGGAGGAACCGCGAGGCCTGACGGTTATGGCGGTGTACCAACGAAAGAGAGAGGAGGGGGCAATAAGACAAGGACAGCGAGGAGGAAACCGCAGAGGCCGAGGACGATAACCAGGATGGTCATGCAATCGCAAATCTTCCCCTCCTTCCTCCTCTTCCTCACAGATCCGCAGGAGGTGGGGCAGGAGGCGCGGGATGGGGAGGAGGAGGAGGAGGAGGAGGAGGAGGAGGAGGAGGAGGAGGATGAGGATGATGAGGAGGAGGAGACGGGTTAAGGAATTGGCGGCTCTCCTTCGTTTCCTCTTCTCCTCCTTCTCCTTCACTCTTCCACATTATCCCTTCTCCTGGTTAATTCTTCAACTCCCATTCCATGTTTTGCATGAGTTCGGCAGCAGGACGCCCTTGCAGACGGCGCCCTTCCCGCAGCTGTGCCTCCGCCTGCAGGAGACCGCCGTCTCCGACGCGGCGTCCCTGGCACGAGGACGTGCTGGGCCTTTCCCCCCCCCCCCCCACCCGAATCCCGCACTCGTCGGCGTGGCCGTGAGGGATCTCAGGCGTCGTGCTGGAAAGCGTGAGGCATACGTCAGGCGTTCCAGTGCAGTCAGGGCCCCTCCTGCATGCAGCCGATCTGGGGACTCGCGAGAGCGGGGGCCCTTCAAAAGTGAGCGGTCGCGCCACGACGGGGGCCTGGGGCCCACGTTGCTTGGCTGGGAACGTTGCCGCGATGGGGCCACGGAGGCCCAGACCGTACGCGTGGCGGGCCAGTGGGGGATTCGCTGTGGCCGCACGTTTTGGGACACGTGTCGTTCTCCGAGGGCGTCTCGGGCGTTTGCGGCCTCCAGGGTCACAAGCCCTTTCGGTAACGACCGTGTGGTGAGGTCTTTCGGAATCTCGACGTCACCGCACGGTCTGCCACCATTGCGGGCCGAGACTCCGGGCGAGAGGGGGGGCTTTCTTGGCCATCCTCGCAAGCAACTCGCAGGAATAAGGTTTCTTGCTCTCCCGACCCGCTCCCCTCGGCTCTTGGGGGCGTCGGGCGCTGGCGTCGGCTCCTTCTCCTCGTCCTCCTTCTCCATTCCTATTCCTTATACATAACTCTTCCCTGTCGCACCCCGAGGCCAGTGATTCTGAAGCCGAAAAATTGGCAACAGTTTTACAGATGGAGGGCAGGTGGTTTTCAAACCATGGCTCTCGCCTAGCGCGGTGCACATTCGCTTTGTACTTTTGCAAGAGTTTCACGGGTTGAGGGCGGGTGGTTTTCAACATGTGGTTCTCGCCTCAGCGTGGTGCACATTCGCTTTAAGAATTCGCAAGATCTTCACGGATCGAGGGCGGGTCGTTTTCAAAATGTGGTTCTCGCTTGCATGCCGCGCACATTCGTTTAAACAGATGCAAGAGTTTCACGAATTTGGTCGATTTTTGTTCCAACATGTTGCTCGCGCCTTCGCGCGGCGCGCAGTCGTTTCGAATATTTAGAAGCGTTTCGCGGAGTGAGGGCGGTTCCTCTTTTTAATGTGATTATCGCCGTAGCGCCGCGCGGATTTGTTTCCAACGTTTGCAAGAGTTTCGCGGATTCCCATCATCAACCTATCAGGGATGGTGTTTTAAAAGGATTTAGGATTACGCGGGCGCAATAGTTGCGTTGATTCGCTGTGCTGAAGTCCCAGGAATGGCGTTCTTGCGCGCTTCAGGATCGTCACCACGAAGCAGTCAGGTTTATCCGTGGCGTTGGGATCCCGAGAACAATGTTTTTGCATGCTTCAGGGTCTTCAAACGGTTGTCTTCCAACGAGGCAGTTCCCTCAATGGAAATGAACCGCTGTAGAGGCCTACGAACTGGGAGCTTGGAGGGAGGGTTTATCCCAAAATCGTTGATGGCTCTTGGGTTTACACTGGTCCTCCTCCTCCTCCTGACCCTCCTTCTAACCCTCCTCCTCCTCCTCCTCCTCCTCCTCCTCCTCCTCCTCCTCCTCCTCCTCCTCTGGCGCCTGGTGGATACTTTCGCTGGTTCTTGAGGGTGCTTCTCCTCCTCCTCCTTCTCCTCCTCCTCCTCTCCTCCTCCTCCTTCCTCCTCTCCTCCTCCTCCTCCTCCTCCTCCTCCTCCCCCCTCCTCCTCCTCCTCCTCCTCTCCTCCTCCCCACCTCCTCTTCCTCCTCCGCCCTCCTCCTCCTCCTCCTCCGCCCTCCTCCCTCCAGCATGCTGTCCAGCAGCTGCGCCTCGTCGAGATCGTGCCAGGGCTGCTCAAATCGTCCCGAACGGCCGCGGGATAGCCGAGTCATAGCCTGCAAGCCGTGAGGCGAAGTGTCCCCTCCGCGGGCTCTCTGTGCTAGGGGCGGTGCGCCACGCGGCTCAGAGGGCATGCTTCGTGTCAGCGAAGAACGACGGGGAACAGTGAAGAAGAGAAGGCCTTCTCAGAAGGCGGCGGAGCTTCTCAGAGGGCCCCCTGCCGTCTGAGAAGGTTTCTGTGTCTCGGGGAAGGCTTAGAAAACTTCTCAGAAGGCCAGGGGGCATCTGAGCCTCCGAGCTTCTGGCTCTAGCATTTCTACCACCACAATTATCGAACGAGAGGCCAAGGCGTACGGGGAGAGGCAGAGGGAAGGGCATGGGTCGGTAGCAGCACTTCGTTTGTCCCCAACCGCGGGCCCCTCATGGGCTGCGTGCTGGATTGGGGGTGCTTGCAGTGGCGGTGCGGCGTCCGTCGTGAGCTACGGGCAGCACTGGAAGGACTGGCGGCATCAAGTTTCGCCCCCTGGATTTCGCCCTGCCCCCCGCCCGCTGGGCAGTCTCTTGGCAGGCGATAAGGCACAAAGAACAACTCCAACGGACCTGATCATAGTCTTGATCCTTCTCATCCTCCTCCTCCTCTTCCTGCTCCTCCTCCTCCTACTCCTCCTCTATGGTGGCCCACCGCTCGGTGCGTCTCTCCTCCTTCGCTCAGCCTCTACTCCACGCAGGCGCGTGGACGCAGGAGGAAAGAGGGGTGAAGTCTTATCCGGGATATGACATTGCGGTGCCTGAACTTGACGACCTGGCAGTTCCCAAACTTAACGGTGTTGTTTCTCCTTCCTTGGTCTTGGAAGTCGTTTGGGGCTTCGTTGTGAGGAGGCAGTTTGTTCGGTGAGGCTAACGAGGGCTAGGTTCTCATCTTCTCCCAGGAGGGGGGGAAGGCTTGTCCCACGTGTTCAGCACACTCAGCACACGCCCAGTCATCCTAGTCTTGGCTGCGCCCGCTCTTATTTCCAGTCAGAACGGAGAAATGGAGGAATGGGGAGGCGGGCCTAAAGATGAAAAAGGAAGATGGATGGAGGAGGGAAGACGTCCTCCTCCTCCTCCTCCGCTTCGTGGTCTTTCTTCCCTCCGCCGCGCTGGCAACCCTGCTGATCAGTGCCGAAGGGGCCCTTCAGGGACCACCTCCAAGTCAGATCTGAAAGGGCACGGGGTGTACACTCTGGACGCCCGAAATGGGTACGGAAAGAATGGGTACACTGCCTAACAGCAGTCCCTGTTCATTTTGAACAGGACTCGCTGTCCACGCCGCCGCGGCCCGTGTCCACTCGAGACAGAAGGCCGCCTGCCCAACAGCGGCCGCTGTTAGTTTGGGACAGAATTTGTTGTTGGGCATTGTACAAATTTTTGTTCGTACCCATTTCGGGCGTCCAAAGATGAGGTCTGACCAGATGGGGTCGGAGGATCGCGACGCATCGCCGATGCATCGGCGATGCGAGGTCAAGGGTGAGCTCGTCCCGATTCTGGGGTTGCCCGTCTGATATGTCGTCGCCTGGGCAGAGCCTGGTGGCGCCACGTCGCTCTCTCCTCTCGCCCATTATTCCTCCTCCTCCTCCTCCTCCTCTTCGTCCTCGTCCTCGTCCTCGTCCTCGTCCTCCTCCTTTTCTCCTACCCCTCCTCGTCCTCCTCCTCCTCCTATCCTTATTCCTTATTAGAATATACTCCTACTCCCCCCTCAGGCCGGCAGATAGCGGGCGCATCCGGGTGGTCCCATCCTAACCTGTAAAAAACAATACAAAATCAACATTTTTCTTATTTTTTCCTCTCGACATGGACGTCCTGTCGTCCACGGCGATAATCCATTGCAAAAAATACCACAAAGAGCACACGCGCGCGTTCATGTCAGAATCCTACCGAACACCGTGTGTTTGCAAGCATTTCAACATAAAAACATCAAAAACCCAATGTTTTTTCACAAAAATTGTACAAATTTCCCGCCCGGGCTCTCTTGCTGAAATCATAGGAAAACCATAGGAATCTTAAGAATTCTGTCAAATCCAGCGATTTCACGTCATCGCGCGGTGCACTCGCGATGCTCTGTCATGCACCCAGGCCGCGAATCCTGTGCAAAAAATTCCACAAAGAGCACACTCGCGCGTTCATGTCAGAATCCTACCGAACACCGTGTGTTTGCAAGCATTTCAACATAAAAACATCAAAAACCCAATGCTTTTTCACAAAAATGCTTTGGGGTGTCCTGTCAGACCGTCGGGCTTCCTCCGGCCACCTCTGGCTTCCTGCGGTGTACCGGGCCATTCTCGACTCGTCTGGCAATGCGTGCGCGGCATTCAACACGCGCTCGCCAGTTCCCGTCGGCAACCGCCATCGCGGCCGCATCAGCTGTACCAAACCGGCTGGCCGGTGTGACTTCGGCCCCCAGCTGTGCCAGCTTTGCTTCTTATGTTGTGGGAGGGCGGGTGGGACTGGGCATGCCATGCTTGACTCGCTCGAGCTGGCTAGCTTGACTCCTACTCCTACTCCTACTCCTGCTCCTCCCTCTCCTCTTCCTCCCCCTCCTCCTCCTCCTGCTCCTCCTCCTCCTCCTCCTCCTCCTCCTCCTCCTCTTCCTCCCCTCCTCTTCCTCCTCCACACCATTCACCTTCCTCCTCCGCCGAGCCTCCGAAACAGCCGCCGCCAGCGCTGGCGGTGCTGGCCTCCTGCGGCTGCGGAGACGCGGCGCCCCCCCCCCCCCGCCCCCCCCTGTCCCAGACGCCCCACAGGCGCGCGTGCCCGGCGGCTGCCTCGTAGGGTGTGTGGGCGGGGTCGGGGCGCACGTGACGGTTGTTAGGGAACTGCCAGAGGATGTTTGAATTGTTCGAGGGCATGCGGGTATTCGGGTGTGTGGGCGGGGTCGTGGCGCACGTGACGGGTGCTCGAGAAGTGTCCGTTGATTTCGGGGGTTTCGAGAGCTTGCGGGGTCTCCGGGGTGGTCTCCATCAGCGGCGCCTCGTCGAGGGCGTCAAAGGAGGTGCCGGCATGTGCCGGAGTCGGCCCGAACGGCGGCAGGAGGCTTGAGGTATAAACGGAACATCGATCGGGGAGCCAGGCAATCCCTTTTGGCCGAACCAGGCTTCGGAGTCACGTGGCGCGCACCAGTAAAGGCCTCGGCTACGCCGCACCCTCGTCTTCGGCGGAAGACTGCGGAAGTAGTCGGCGGAGGCCAGCGGCAAGTTGGCGGAAGCGAAAGTCAACGTGAGAGGTCCGCATTTGTTTTGAGTTCCGCGAGGATTTATTGAATCAGTGCTGGAGTCCCCTGGCAGCGCCTCGGGTGCCTCCCCAGGCGCGCTCCGCGCGCCACGGAGGTGGGTACAGCGCAGATCCAAGAAATCCGCGCGAAAGTTTCTGTTCACGCCGTTTTCTCTCGGCGACTAGCGAGGGGGGGAAGTGAGAAGAAGAATGCCTTCTCAGAAGGTTCGGAAGTCCCCTGGCCTTCCGAGAAGTGTTCTAAGCCTCCCCTGAAAACAGAAAAACAAAACTCAGAAGGTGCGAGGGTTTCTGGGAAGTCCCGCCGCCTTCCGAGAAGACCTTCTCCTTCTCACTTCCCCCCCTCGCTTGCCGCCGATCTAGATTCCCCCCGCTTGGGTCCGGTGTTTGTGAGCTATTGCGCGGCCGCCCGCTGGGTGGTGGCTCTCGGGACGGAGCCTCGGCCGGCACGCGTCCCCGGCGGGGAGGGGGGGAGCTCTTGGCCCCCTCGTCGAGGAGAGATTCCGGGGCCTCTGGAGGCTGCCGTCGTCGGTGGCAAGTCATGGGAGCTTCGTATACCTTCTTTAAGTCCGTCTATAGCGTCGGCTAGCGTCGATTAGCGTCTGGAAACGATGAGGTGCGCCGAGTCAGCGTCGGTTAGTGTCGATTAGCGTCGATTTAGCGTCGTTTAGCGTCGATTTAGCGTCGATTAGCGTCGATTCGCAAGAGCCGACAAGGGGGTATGGGAGGCTCTCAGGAGTTGCCACCGAGGCCTTCGGGGAGGTGGACGAGGGTGCGGGCAAGACTTCAGTCCATATCCGCTGCAGCTTGCACTGACCGTGCCCCACAGGGAGCTCCACCAAAGGCCCCAGAGACCCAGAGACAGGGCTTGCACAGTGCCCCCCTCCCGCCAGTTGCGGCGCACCCTTCGCGCGGAACATGCCCAACGGGCAGCACCACCCACAGCCCCAGAGACCAGGGTCGCAAATCGTCCTTTTGCCCATGTCGGCACACTTTTCACGCGAATCGTGCGCTGGAACGAGCTCCACCTGTGGCACCAGTGGGCAACTTCGCATGGCGCCCCCCCACACCCATTTTGGCACATGCCTCACACGGGTCGTGCCCCACAAAGAGGCTCGACTTTTATCCATGTCCAGTGCGCTTCGGCCTTATGGCGCCCCTCCCACGAATTTCCAAGACGCACCAGATATGGGCATAAACATTGCCCGCACAGCCCCCTCCCCCGCAGCACCCGGCTGCCTCAGAGGGGGGCTCCCCTCTGAGGCAGCCGGAGTTTGCTTCATTGCTACCAGTGCCCCCCCACCCCTCGCTCCCAGGGCGTCGGTAGCAAAACACGGGAGCCTGGTGTACCCTCGTAATTGTGCCTTTAGCGTCGATTAGCGTCGGCTTGCGTTTGGGAGTCGATGAGGTAGCGCCGATTTAGCGTCGATTAGCGTCGATTTAGCGTCGATGAGCTTCGATCTAGCGTCGATGAGCGTCGGTTCGCAGTAGCCCACGAGAGGGCACGGGAGGCTCCCAGGAGTTGCCACCGAACAGGGCGGAGGAGACACGGGGACGCCATGAAGCAGGCGAGTTCGGAGGGAGGCGGGCTCGGAGGGCTTCCGCCCTCTTGGGACGCCCCTTGGGCGACTCTGGGGGGCCTCTTGGGCCGTCTTGGGCGGTCTTGGGCTCTCTTGGAGCGCTCTTGGGCCGTCTTTGGGGGGAACCCGAAAGACTTGCAGAAACCCGAGGCAAAACCCGAAAATGGCCATCACCAGCCCTGCGTTCCCCCCTCGCCTGGGAGGAAGCCATGGGCCCGGGCGGGAGGCCCTCGGGGCCCCGGGGCCCATCGCGGCCCGCAGGGTTCAGAAGGGGGGCACCTCGGGTTGCGGCGGCGGCCCCTCCTCGTCTCCTCCGCCCCGCCTCTGGAGACCACGGGTGATGTGGAGAACCCAGGAGGCCTCGCGCGTCGCGAGCTAGTTGTGTGATTCAGGAGCGAAAGCAGGACGTGCGCGTACATGGTTGCACGCTGGTTTCGCAAGTACGCATTGCGCGAATGTTCGTGTCACGCGGCCCGTCTCGCGGATCGAGGGGCCGTGTTCATGTACATAGGTGGGCGCGTGCATTTTTTGTGGACTTCTTGATTATTTAGTCCACACGTCAGCTCCGTCGACGCTCGCGCGGCGATGCTCTGGAGTCAGTCCGACGTAAATCCGACGCGATTCTGACGTGGTCAGACATGCACCCCACGTAAATCCGACGTGGATCTCACGTACACCGGGTCTCAAGTTGCCGCGCGAGGCCGCCAGGATGTTCGTCATAACATTGGGGAGGAGAAAGAAGAAGGAGGAGGACCTTAAGGAGGAGGACGACCAAAGTAAACCCACCGTGCGTCAACAGTGATGTAATCCACCCTCCCGCCCCCTCCTCGAAAGTCCCTACAGCCATAATCTTCCACTGCGGGAAGCGCACTTCTAGAATGACAGGCGCTGGGTTGGGCTCCCATTCAGGGGAGACATGGTTGTAAATCATTCCGTCCCCCATCCACTCAGCGAACAGAAATTTAGAGATGCTGAATGACAAAGTCCTAGAAAGTGTTCGGTGAAAGCCCTGTTTTGAAAAATAGTTGCGGCAATCCCAAACGAGAGCCCCATTTTGAGTATGAGCCGCACTCCACACGACGCTTAGGCACGAGCCGCCCTCCATGCGGTGCTTGAAGGCGACCAGCCCTGCGTCAGTGTAACGGTCTTGCAAGGAAGTCAGGCTCCAAACGCCCCGCCCAGCCTACGGACACCTTT